AGTAGTATATATATATATATATATATATATATATATATATATATATATATATGTATATTCATATATATATATATATGTGTTTGTGTGTATGTATGTGTATATATGTATGTATGTATGTACAAATAACATATGTATAATATATCTATATTATTGTATGTTTTATGTTTTTTATTTTGTATTTTGTTTTCTACATATATTATTATATTACTAATATTATTATACTATTATATTGTTATATTGTTTTATTATTATATTGTCCTATTATATCCAGGTATAGAAGGATTGTATATCAAATATGCGCAAAGCAAGTAGTTGGAACATGCCTAACTTGTGCGCCATGGTATACAATGGAGTATGCTGAAGTGAATACATTTGAGATTTCAAACGGCTGTGGTATTTATTTTCGTAAACTAAGTGGAGTATTGTTTAGCTGCTATACTTGTTAGGTGAGACTATTCCATTTTTAGAGATAAGAAGTCAAGTGGGTTGAACTTGTGCTACCTTGTGTTGGGATGAACCATATCTATCCTCGGGGACCGAGGTGAACATCATACAAGAACAGACTTTAGAATTACAACTTGGTTCGTCCTTTTTGATGCTACATGTTACGTCTGCGTGATTATGTGTGACAGGCATTTAATTCTAACCACAAGTGCGTATAGCAAGCTTGCATGTGCGCATCTATTTGCACAATTATGTAGTCGCTCCACAGCACTCCAGCGCTTGTAGCGGTTTACGTTCGAACCCTTCCCAACCCCCCCCCACCGCACACACACACACCAAAGACCCTAGACCCCAGATAAGACCGTCTAACCGTCCCTTATTACTATATCAGGCGATGATCCCGGCGTGTGAAGCGGCCACTCGAGAAATGTTTAGACAGGTATCTTCGGCCCTCACAGAAAGGACCGACACCTACATCGACGTCATCAGGACCCAATCGCAGCAGTTTTCTGTCGCAGGAGATGTCGGGAAAAGCTTGTCGGTATGATTACTCGGTATATGCTTGCCAGAGCGTGCTTCATGTTACTCTTTTTTCTCTGATTTATAATTAACAAACATAGACCCGTGTGAGACGATCGGGACACCTATATGCGTTTCTAATATATATATAACCGTGTCAATATATATATATATATATATATATATATGTTATAAATGTATATCTATGTATATATATACATATATATACATACATATATATAATATATATATACACATACATATATAATATATATATATATATATTGTGTGCAAGTGTGTGTGTAGGTATGTATGTATGAAGATGAATATGTACATATATATATGTGGGTGGGTGGGTGTGGGTATGTATATATGTAGTATGTATGTATGTATGTATGTATGTATGTATGTATATGTATATATATAATACATATACATATATATGTATATATATAGTATGTATCCGTATGTGTTGCGAATGCTCACTAAACCTGTGCCTAAATCCCATACAGAATACTGAGTCTGCCGTTCAGCAGTTGACGCAGCGCTTGGGCCAAGTGAGCGAAACACTCGACATCACTACTTCACAGACCGCAAACGTGTTAACGGCAGTGCAGGACTCCAAGACGGCCGTACTCATGGGCTTGGTAAGTGGTGTGGTGCTTGCTGTATTTGTGCATTGAAACGTGCCACTGTAAGAAGTTTATTCGATGAATATGTATCTATATCGATATGTGGGATTATTATGTGGATGTGGAATTTTTAGCGATATTAGGCAATATGTGAACGCACTTTCCAATATCGCGCAAGCAACAAATGTGGTCACCGCAGTGCAAGACTCCGAGACGGCTATGCTTAAGGACCTGGTAGTTGGGTGTGTTACAAGCTGTATGTGTGTATGTCTATGTAGAGATGTAGAGTATATAATTCTCCGCTTTTTGTATCAGTATCGTGACAAAATGTACGTGTAGAAGTGCAAATCTATATCAGTATGTATAGGATGGTCCAAGCAATTGTCGATATCAAATGTATACTAATACACAATTATGCATGTTTCCTGCAGAAAGCACAGCAACGCACTAAAGCATCAGCCAATGTGCCAGATATGCTTTCACGACAGTCGTCTTCACAGTCTGTAGTGCGTTCAGGATATACTACTCCCACTGCTATCCCGATACCGCAACAAGCATCACAGCACCTCACACAACAGCAACAAGCGCAGCCGCAGCAAATACAGCAACAACTACAACACCATCAATCACAACCACAGCAGCAGCAACAACGACAAGTACGGAATGACTATGGCAATTCGAATGCACAGCCGATGATGTACCAACAGCCGCCACCACAGCAACAACGACCGCCACAACACCAACAAGTACTACAACAACAACAGCAACAACCACCGCCACAGCAAAGGCAGTCTGCAGCGCAACCCCAATCTAAGCCAGCACCCGGCGAAACCCCGGAAGATCTTTGGGCGGTAGGTCCTGTATGCAGCATAGATACTCTATGTTCTCAGAAATGTCTTGTAGAAAACGCCATCGAATGCTTGGGCTGTCTGCTTACGTTTACTTGTTTGTTGGGTTTGTGTCGCATAGAACTTGTGTGGATTCGGTTTTAGGGTATCGTGTTCCTCGGTATGTGCTTTACACTGTTTTATTCCCACACATTAACGACTAGTGCTATTTTAGAGTAGAAAGCATGCTTGTATATTGTTCCTTGCCATGAGCCAAGTTAATGTATTGCCGCTCTCTGTCAGCTTAGCGCACAAAATCAAACCCAAAGAACATTTTTTAAATGCATGGACGAGAGAACACGGGTCATCTTGAGTTGATGTTTTCACTGATGTAGACTGCCTCCAAACATTACATACGCTGGCAAGTTTTACGTGGCAAGATCAACGCATTCCTCTACTACCGCCGCCAAATTATTTACCTCGCAAACTACCTTCCAACTCGCTCGGGTAGGCTATTAACAAACTTTTATTGGCCGAGAAGTACGAAGGGGCTTTCAACAAATCTCTGAATGCGGTGCATCTACCCACACTGGAGCGCCTGTGCACTACATTAGACATGGAACGCATCCTGAAGAGCCAGCCACCAGTCATCTCACAGGTGAGTCTGACCTTCACCTGGATAGGTTTATTAGTATCGCAGCTTGGTGTATCAGTAGTATCTGTCTCAGTGAGCAGTTTAGGCAACCGGTTGCGCGGGATGCACTCAGTATGTAGTACAAGCGTGTCTGTGAGAATTATGTTTTCCATCTTAGTGGGTGCGGTGTACCACTCGATTTACTCGCTGTCAAGCATGCTATTCCAACCCTGAAACTGCCTTTAGAGTAATGTGCCAGCAAGCCCTTTTCGGGATTATCAGAGGGTTGTTCGTTTTTGTACAATTAAGTTTTATATGAGCACTACCTATAGATACAAAGAGCAAACGACACTGTAGCAGAATTATGACTTCGCCTGCTCCAAATGTTCGCAAAGAGCATTCTCGAATAGCGTGATATGCCGGGAACTGACTTCTCTTATCTCAGAAGGAAGTCCGATTTATTTATTTTCGCTTACCCTGTTCTAGATCTGTAAGGTATTGAATTCCGGAAATACTACCCATTGTACTAGACATTTTTGCTGCCGGGTGTGGCCACATCCCGAAGATTTCAAAATGACGTTGTATCTGCGTCCAGTCGTAGCCTGGTAACTGAGCGATAAGCCATGCGCTTGTCTTCGTGGCCGACACTGACACTCTCCCTCTCCCTTCCCACTTCCCTGCTCACAATCAAAGTACTAATACCATACCGTACAACTATACCACAGCCCGTCCTCTTGTCGTTGATTCAGCAATTGTCTACAAATCTCAAGACAGGCACTGTCATGAAGCTTTCGGTGGTCCGAACTGCGTTGGTGAGCCTGGATCGCAACGACAAGATTGTGCAGCAGCATAGAATGGGACTACTCCAACAGGTATGCTGGTTTCTGGCCGTTTGATGACATTCGACAGTGTAGTTCGTTTTGCCATGTCGTACTGTTTTGTATTTATCCTCCCATACGAACTTGGATTGCTTGTCAGCTCTATGTCGCGTACATGTGATATTGATGTATATTCGTTCTGAACCTGGGGACTCTCAACAGAGGTGCAGCACTACTGGCGGGGCGAAGATGCACATGCTCTATTTAATATTTTATTACTTTTCATCTAGCATCGGATACGATTTTCTTGATCCGTTTTGCTGCAAATCACCGTTGAATATTAGACCATAAAAAATATAATGTGATCTAGTAAGCAAGCGATGCGAATAAATGAATAGTTCTTGTCTGCTCTGACTGACATTTGTATGCGTTTTCGCTTCAGGTTTCTAACTCGTTGAAAGCTTTCAAGGCGGCATCACCATACCATCCGGCAATGTCGGAGGTCGAGCGGCTTCTTCAAGACACTGCCTACGACCGACTTTAAAGAACTGAGACGAATTATTATAAATGTACATAGAATTCTTAAGACTCTTTTGCCGAGGTGTATACGACTATGCTGGTTGTCTTGAGATAATTTTTGCGAACTCGCAGTTTAATAAATATGACAGAAAATTGGATGATAATTGGTGTGTTTTCTCTGGTCAGCGATTTCAGGTTTCTCTAAAGAGTCGAGATATGAGGGACCAGCCTTCAGAAACAAGTTCAATAGTTTCAATAGAATTTGTATCAGACGCCTTCCTCACAAAAAGGGCGTCCGTCAGGACTCTGTACTAAATGCGCCAATAGCCAATCGTCATAACCGCATGATTATGTTACTGTGGTACTGGGCAGTATGCTGGATGGCCATGAGTAATTCTTGATTGACGTATAGTCTCTACAGCACTTACAATCTATAAACCTAGCTAATATGTAGTTTCCAATGCAATCAGAGTCGTAATTAGCCCGTGCCCACCTCCCTACTATAGATTTGCAGCAGTTTTCAATTCTACCCCGATAGAAAATACTCCAGCTACATATTTACTTATATGCTCTGTATACATCTCAAGTTTATGTTCATTTATGTCTTGGCCATTTATTATTGTAGCTTCTAGGTACAAGATCATCAAAAAGCCCTGTGCACAAAATCCTAGAACCACTAAATTTTCAAATACTGAGGTTTGTGGTCCGGATCCAATATTCCTGATATTAGAATCTTCAATAATGTAACATCTAGAGACCAGATTATCAAAAAGCCAATACAAATCCCAAATCCCAGAATAATCAAATATTGAGTTTTGGAATTTGAATTGGAATATTTCTGATATTAGAGTCATCAGAAATATTAGTGGTAATACCGGTAAGCTATACAGGGACTCCCCGTGTGAGAGAAACACTCAAGTAAATCTTGAGTCTAGTGAAAGCACAAATAAAGACTCAGTTCGGTTCTCTCAGGCTAGGGACTTTTCCTAGCTGAGATAACCGTACTTGAGAAGTAGTCTATTGTATCACTTGTCTCATATCTTTCAGCTACTCTCCATACTCTACATTTTTTACAATATCCTTACAGAGGTAAGTCAACAAGATAAGATCCAACTTACAAATTACACTAGTGAGTGACGAAATTGAAACGTCGGGGGAAACTTAATAGAAGCTTTATTAAGCAGAGAACGGAGTGCTCCGAGAGGACCAGATTGCAAGTATTCCGACTTCCAACAAACAAGAAACAAGAAAGAAAATAAGGAGCTACCACAACAACAAAAGAACGCCTGGGGAACAACACCATGTAAATACAGTTTGTCCAAAACGTGGCAGGTAAGCCAAAGGTGTGTTTGAGTGACAGAAGAGTGTTCCTGCCTCAGTGAATACAAGATAGTTCAAAAAGTGTCACCCTGATCAAAACGATCAATGTTAGGGATTTCGAACAAGAAAAGACACTGACGTCAGCATTCACAAATGGGCCTTAGGACACTGCGTCGAGAAAGTTCGAGACCGTGACACACTGAGAGAGCAAATACCGCTCAATTTTTCCATCCGCCATCGCCAGGATTGTATGATTCTGTTCGCGGCAATTCGTGTACCGCGTACAGAACTGATCGACCTCTGCCTCAATAAAGTACGGCAGAGGTTGGGACGCAGCGCGAGCTATTTCGGCCCCTCGCTGGCCCACCTCCTTAGGCTGGGCTACAGGAACAGCCTGCAACACATCACTCGCCCCTGCTAGGCCCGACAGGTGCTGCGATTGCAGCCCTGCTTCACGCTGCTCCCCTTGCTTCGCTGCCTCCAACTTCTTGACCGCCCGTGCTGCCCGCCTGGCCTCTTTGCGCTTCTCGGCCGCAGTTTTCGGCGCTAGCCTCAACTGCCTCGTCACCTCGCTGATCGCCCTCGCCATCGCTCTATTTGGCTCTCCTGACGGACGGGGTGGTTCTAGTGCATCTAAATTCACAACCGGGGCTCCCGCCTGGTATGCCGCCAACCGCTTTTGCATGGCAGCCAGGTAGTCGGTAGCCGATGCCACGGGTACTGAGGGGTTCTTTTCTTGGTCACCAACCTCGTCTACCAAAACCTTCAACATTGATCGCCCACACATGAACACAATTAACTCCTGTAGCACCTCATACTTCCTCTCCGTATCCTGGCGCAGCGATCTCGCAAAACTCGCCACCGCCAAGGCCTTTTCTCCTTTGCTAAACTTGGGCCATACTCCAGCATAGAGCCTGGTGTACGCCACAAGCCAATCCGGATCTGCTCTCATTGGCAGGAGCATCCGACCCTGAAGCGACATGCAAAAATCCTGTGTAATCGCCTGCTTCACGATGTGCACCTTTTCTGTCGCCTGGCCCTCACCCAGGCCCGTGTAGGCAACTTTCGTACGCACCAAATCAAAATATTCGGACCATGCCCACAGATTATCGGAATCTCAACCCGTCAACACAACCGCCGTCTGCTTAACCATGGCTGCCAACGAAATCCCAACCAAAATCACCTAAATTTGATAAAAAACGCCGCCCAAAGAAAAAGATAGAGCACTGCCTAATGACTAATTGTGATCTAAGCTAGTATTAACTGAAACACAAAGGTCGATGCTAGAGACAAAATTCGCGCGTCGTTCCTCAATCGGAGCCGTGCGGAAAGGAGATCGCATGGAATGCCACTGCTCATACTCTCCAGAAAATATCAAATCCACATCTTGCCCAATAATAGGGGAGATAGGGGATATGTACGGTCGGAGCTGCGTTCTGTACCGACGCGCCTCCTTGCCCCGGAAAGAGATAGTATATGTCACCGGGCCGTCATGCGAGCAAATAGTAGCAGGTCCCTTCCACTTATCTTCAGCCTTCGGGCGATTCGGGGAAGTCTTGAACTTGACCAGGGACCCCGGAGCAAGGTCGGGGGCAGGTTTGCGGATCTTATTCACCCTCGCCCTTTGCGCTTTCTTGGCACGCTGGGTACGCTGAAGGGCAGCAGCATCACGGACCAGGGCACGGGCCGAGCCTTCAGTGGCCAGCAGGCGACGCACGTCCGCCTCCAGCTTGAACTCACGCTCGCCATCATACACACGGTTTGTAGCCATAGTGTACGAAGCAACCCCTGAGTGGTTGTGGTCATAGCGTTATAACAGTTGCGAAACCTGTAACACCAAGGGACTCAATCGTACTCATCCTTAGCGGTCATAGACTTGAGAATCCAATCTTGCGCAACCTTCACCATGGCTTCAGCTGCGCCATTGGCCTGATGATGATCAGTAGTAACATCATGCACCTCACCGCCGGACTGCTGTGCAAACTCAGTAAACTCCTCAGCCATAAACACCGAGTCCTTGTCACACGTGTATAGCTTGGGCTGACCCCACGGATGAACAATCTCGTTGAGGAACTTAATGGCCTTACGAGCACTCTTAGAACGAGAAGGCTTCATCAGAACCATCGAGGTGGCTCTGTCTACGACGAGCAGAACCCAGCTGAGGTCTAGGGTACGGACGCAAAGTCCATAAAGACATGATCTAATAGACCACGCGCTCGCTTGGGCTGTTGAAGCAAACCCAACACCTGTGTACCATGCGGAGCACGAAGCTGACACCGGTGACACGAACGCTTGATCACTCGGATCAACGAACGCAGGCCGTTCCAACCATACAGCGCGTACAACTTACCCACGAGCTTATCAGTATCTGCATGTATGTATACCTTGTGCGTGGCAGCAATCACATTGTGGACCTCTGCCACGAGAGAACAAAACCACGAATATGGTACGGAGAAGGGCCCTCCATAGCCGTCTTGACAGCAGATTCGACCTCCTCCTTAGACTGAGGTAAGCCCCGCTGCACGGCAGCCTGGACCTGCTCATGGCGAGCACTAGCCCCACGCACACGGCGATCAGGCATTTTGCGCTTAGGCTCTGTGGCCTGTGCCGCCTGACGCTCAAGCGCTGCCGACTCCACCGGAGTGGGTTGGGGGGCAACTGTTCGCGGATTAGTCCGGAGCACCGAGCGAGTGGCTCCGCTCGCTACACCACCACACTGGCGCCAAAAGTCCTTAGGGACCTGATACTTGGCTCCCTTGGCCGACAAACGGCACAACAGCGTAAGACCCCAGCGCGGCGGTAGCATTCCTTCATGCCCATACCGGAAGAAGACACCCTTCTCCGGCGGGATAATAATGGGTTCCCTTGATAACAACGACAACATGGGCTGGGACCACGGCGCATCAGGGAGATAAGGGCACATCAACGTGATGCCCGCTTCATCCGCAATAACCTTAGCTAACACACGCGGTATTGCGGCCCACGGGCAGTTGACCCACAAATTGAGGAACATCCACGATTGGGAAAACGCGCCACCTTCCAAAGAAGGGGAAAAATAATTCGGCAAATGGTTGTTGCCCGGGAGAGCAAAGCCGTCATGGGTATGCGGACCCCAAGCCTTGTCAGCCACCTTGAAGTATGTAGTAAGTGTACGCTAGATAACTGTATCTCAACGTTCTCCCTCCGCAGAGAGGGAGACGTTGTACATTTATTAGTAATTGTAAAATTCATGACTCTAATTATGAGTCATGAGTCATGTGATGTAATAGTCAGCAAAAACTAAGTTTATCAGATTATTCTGATAAACTGTAAAAACTGTAGTAAAACTAAAATAAACCTAAGTACTTGTATTCTGACCACAACTCCCCCAAACTGAAGCACGACCGAATAGAAGTGTGCCAGTTTTAGAGATGATAAGGAATACCCAAAGTATCTTAGTTGCTGGCATTTATCCTCTGAGAGCTAGAGCAGTATGCTGGCAGTTATCCTCTGGGAGCTAAAGCAGTGCGCTGGCATTTAACCTCTGAGAGCTAGAGGGCTCGAAAATCACGGTTCGAGCGCACCGTCCTACCGAGTAGTCATATCTAAAGATAAATGTTAGATCTGGGCACGTTGGCGTTTTACGTGTCCGTGTCTGCGAGGCCTTGTGGTAGGCCGCGATATCGTTGGCATCATCAAAAGCCTCCGATGTTTCCCACGTGGGGACGCCTTCGCGCCATCTCACCAAGTATTCAAAATTCCCTGTAGCATCATTACTGCGGTGTGTAATAATGTGGCGAAACTCAACACCTCCTTCTGTCCACAATTCATCGTTAAGTGGTAGGCCTGTGCGCCGATGCACTAACCGGAGGAGTTTCACCCGTACCGGTTTGCCATTGAATTCTGGAGGTGCAGAGCCGTCTTTATTCGCCAACTCATAGCGCTGTCCGACCCTAGCCTTAACCACATACGGCCCAAACAGCGGCCGCATTGCTTTAGTCGTTCTGCCCTCCGATCGTACCATTACCATATCACCTTCGTCGAAATGTACCAGGTCATGAGCGTGCAAGCGGTCAATTGTCTTAGTGAGTTTACCTGTATACTTCTTCGCAATGTGGTGGAGTGTCGGCAGTATGGTGTCCTGCAACTGGTCTAACCGTTGGGCACAGGTGTCGTTCGTCATCGGCTGGGTATCTGGTAACTCATCAGTAAAATCGGCAAACGGTACGTGACGGTGGCCAAAATATACACTGAACGGCGCGCTCTTATGTCGTCTGGATATCCGAAGGTTCTGATAGAGCGTCGTAAACGGAAGACGTTCGTCCCATCGTAGTCGTTCAGCAGCACCTAGTACTTGGGGTCGATATGACGGTGACACCTTGTGTAGCATCCCCACTTCTTGGACCAGGAGCTCCACTATTTTGTTGGTGAATTCATTCCCCATGTCCGTCTGGATCATACGTGGGAAACCATGCTCGCCAAAAACTTCTATTAGTGTCTGCGCCGTCGTCTCCTTCGTCTTGTCCGGTGTCGCTCGAAGGATTAAGTAGCCTGTAGCGATGTCCAGGACGTGAAGTATATAATTGTTCTTTCTTCTGGACTCAAGTGGCATAGGGATGTAATCAACTTGAATATGGTCCCACGGGTAGCGCGCGTCAATACTAATCATCGTGTGAAAGTCCTTAGAAGCGTATCATATCCCAAACATATAGCGCACTGCCGTTTGACTTCCGTTGCCAATTCGAGTGCGCCCGGCCACATATGGCCATTATGTCGGAGTTGTTGGACTGTGTCGGCCGCTCCATGATGTCCTTGTTCGTGTTGAGTTTGAGTGAGTCGCGTACGGCGCTGTTGTTCTTCTGGTGTCGCTCACCCAAACGCCGGTTGACCCTCTGCGTCTGCCATTGCCACCGAGATCTCTCATGCCGTATCCAAACATATCACGTACGCCGTGTGTTTTGGTTCTGCATACCCAAGTCGTTGTGAAAACAACGGGTCCAGTTTGAACCCGCTAGGAGGCCCCACCCGTGCAATCACTGTGTGTCCCCATGGTGTCTTGCCACAGGCGTACTTAGCATACTTGAAGAACGTATGTGGCGTTCGAGGAACCAGCACTGGCTCTGACTGCAACAACTGCTTGGACAAGCCAAACCATGGTGCCCTTAGCACCCATGCTAGACATACAGTTTCCCTTGCACAATCAGTCCTTATCTTGCGCAACATTCCGTGTATCTTCTCCCATGGTGGGTTCATCCATTCATCGACCGTCGACCAGTCGTGGGCAAACGCACCCTCCCCATCGTCTTTAAATCCAAAATCGAGGGAGCTGAGCGTTAGTTGGGTCCGCAAATACGTCTATATTATTCGGGCCGAAGTGTTGTTGTGCTTGTTCAAAGTAACTAGAGAATAACTGCCAACAATCTGTGTACAGTATTTCAGGTTCGTCTTGCTCCGCTGTCCCCTCGTGTACTCTGCTCAACTTTCCCGAAAGCATGCTCGTTTCTCCTGGTATATGTGATATGGTAAAGTTGAATGGTGCGATAATATGGTGCCATCTCTGGAGCATCGGATTAAGCTTGAACTATGTATTCATATACAAAAGGTCCTTGTGATCCGCGAAAACTGCAAACCGTTGTCCATCCAAATGTTCCCTAAATGGGTAAGCCCATACACAAAAAGTTAGTAATTCCTTCATTGGTGTAGCGTAGTTCTGCTGCGCATGGTTCAGAGTCTTTCTAAAGAACATTAAATAGTGTTTCTTCCCGTTGACCCATTGGAATAACACTCCCTCCAAACCGTAATCACTAGCGTCGGTTTCTAAGTTCAATGATATACCGTCGACCGTCGACCGTCGACCGGGAAGTGCAACGCTACTGCATTAACAATTGCATTTTTCATCGCCTGCCACGCCTGTGCATGTCTCTCCTCCCAACGATCGCCGATCAGCTCCTTCGGTTTAAGTAAAAGGGTGCGACAGTGCTCGCGAAATTGAGGAGATGCTCATGAAGGTAATTCGCCAAACCTAAGGCGGAGGCTATATACTTGTACCGTAGTGGGGTAGGCCAGTCGATAAGCTTGGTCTGCTTCTCATGATCAATGTCTATGCCTTGTGCCGACACCTTCTTCCCTAGGATCATCACTTCGGGAATAGCAACGTGGCACTTGGCGGGGTTAAGCTTAAAACTGTGGTATGTCAAGCGTTGGATCACCTTCTGCACCGTCTTAATATGTTCGTCATAATCGACGCTAGCGCTAACTATGTCGTCGATATAGTGGTGGACCGGTAAGCCGTCAAGTATCGTGCTCAAAGTGCACTGGAACTGTTGCGTGAGCACATGGAGTCCGAACAGTGCCGATGTAAACGAGTACTGATAACGCTCGAGTGTTGAATTTATCACTACACGAATTTCGTTGGTCAATTCGGTCAAAAATCCAACTTTTTTTAAAAGCAACCATACTAAGGATAGCAACCAGACCGCAGGATAAGAGCCGTACATTCCAAGACCCAAGAGAAAATCTCAGCCTCACAGTCTCCGAGTCTCAGCCTCTCAGGCTACATCCCAAAGTCAAACCAATATGCCACAACGCAGAAATATATATATGTATATGTATATCATATACATATATCTATATATTTTAATATA